TTTTTAAACCCGATTTATTCAAAATGATTTACATGCAAAAAAGGGCTGTTTTAATTGATAATACCCCATATGTCCAAAACCAATTGGCATATATCCAAAACTAAATGTGAAACAGGTTTTTGTCCAATTTTCCAACACTGCCCTAAAGGTAGTCATCATTATGTAAATGATCATACATAGCGATTGCACACAAAATCATTGTGCATAATCACTATTGTGATCATTATGCGCTAGTATTATAATTATGCACTTGTAATCTTTATGTGCTAGTATCATTATTGCGCAAGACCGCTATATGTAAATGTTATGCGTTAGTATTATCATTGTGTACGATCAATATGCATGATTTGTTATGTGCAATAGTTAAACAAAAAAATTATGAGTGTGATGTATAATAGGAATTAAAGGCAGGCAAAAATAAATAGAGTTAGAAAGGTTTTGAACTTTTTATAGTTTTAGATTAACAAATAAAAATCACTTTAAAATACACTTCTTACGAATTATTTTATTTAATTAAAAAATATAAACATTATATTTTAATATTATTCTAATTCTAAGCAATGACCTCTAACGTACAGTCATCTACCTTTAATATGCAAATGTCTCAAAAAATTTCTATAAAAAGCTATTTCGAATCTCCGATCAAAAAAGATAAAAAAAAATAAAATGCAAACTATATATTAAAGACAATTACCTTACCTTAAGCAATAGCAGTACTACCAACTTGCATACTCATATCTCTAAAATTTATAAAATTAATATCTCATAGGCAGTTAGTTCAGAAGATTTTACACTTGTAGCTTCTAAGTCAAATGAATATATCTTTAGAGAGGCGTTGGTCAAATGGATTACAACGGATAATCTTCTATTTACCGCTGTTGAGTTAGAAAGCTTTCAGAAGTTATTTGAAGCAATCAGAAAATTAGAAGGTGATGTTACTGTTCCTTCTGCCAGAATAGTAAAACGTGATTTATTAGAAAAATACTTAATGCTAAAAGTTTTCTTAAAAAGCACATTAATAAATAACTTAAGTAAGATTTCTCTTACAACAGACCTCTGGACCAGCAATAATTGTAATACTTTTTTAGGGATTATAGCATATTGGGTAGATGAGGACTAAAATATTCAATTTTATATACTTGATTTGGCACCTTTTGAAGAATCCCATACCGTCAGTATTGGCAAATAATATCATATGACTTATATAACTTATATGATTTGTCATAAGTTATATGTTATTTGGTAAAGGTATATAACTTATGACCTTTAATTATATAAATTAACTAATTATTTTTTATATAAGTGTATAAGAGTAAAAACCTGAAAATGGATTTAATAATTTACTATAATTGGTTACAGATTTTTACTCTTATATATTTATATATCAATATTTATATTTTATAAAAACCAAAACTAATTAGACTTCTATTAAAATTGTTATATTTATAACACATATATATTTTACATAGAGAATACTTATTTTTACTATAAAAATTTACTATTTTCATTAATAGCTATAATTTATTATAACAATATGTTTACCATTTTATTTAGCTTAAAAGTTATAAGAAAAATATAGTAAAAATAGTAAATATCTGTAGTATTTATAGAAAAACTAATCTAATATATGCAAATATTTAACAGTTAATATATAAAATATTATAATAAAAACAAATTACAAAAATAACTTAAAAACTTTTCATGACTCAAATCAGAATAAGCAACTAAAAAATTTATTTATTTTCAAAGTTTATATTCCAATAACAAATATCTTAATATATTCACCAGATTTACAAATTAGTTAAAAAAATATATATAAAAGATTTCTATCACAATATATAAACTTCTCACACAATGCAATAATAAAAATCCTAACAAATAATTAAAAAGTTTAAAAGTTTTTAATTTTTTTAAGACTTTATCACAATGGCCTGTATAATAAATTAAAGTTTTAAATTTATATTAGTTTGATATATTTATCTTTATTGTAATTAATTGATCAGGCTAAAAAGATCTAGCTGCTAAAGTAAATATCCATTATAGAATAATAACATATTGTTCTAAAAACTTATTACATTATAACAAGAGATTCGCTTTAGCCAGATTCACTATAATGAAAATTGAATATAGCCAACTCTTTCTATAATAAACTAAAAATTTTGAAAAAAAAAGTTCGTTATATAAAATTACTATATTTTCTTAAAAACCCATACCATTTTTTATACTAAACTATTATAAAATTTCAAAATTTTGAGTTCATTATATTCAGAATTCATTATAAAAACCTAGAGTTGACTGTATATATTAAAAAAAGTATTAAGTTTTAAAAATAATAATTTATATTACAACCCTTTTTTATTTTGAAACTAATATTTATTATAATATAATTATATTTATTTACTAGCAATTCATAAAAGATTCAATAAATGCAAGTGATTCCAAACTATTAATAAAAAGAGATGATAGTTTCCATTTTGCATTTAAATCTTTTGCTGGATGAATATTGTGCATTTTTACTAAAAACTCTTAATTCAAATCACTGTTAAGTAACAATTCATTATTACTATTTTTAACTCGATTTTCATAATTAATTTCTTCAATCTATTAAGAAATTATTGCATTCCACATTCATTTCTTTGAAATTGTTTGAGACTTGACTTATTGAAGATCTGCTAATGCTAAAGTGTTTAGCAATTGTTTGGACTGATAATTCTTCTAAAATATTTTCAACTATTTTTTAGTGAATATGCTTTATATTTACCACAGTTATATCAATATTGGTTATCCGGTCACTATCGATTAATAATTGTTACTGCTGCTCGTAAATAGAGCCTTGTAGTATTTATATATTTCATGTGTGTTCCAATTTGCCAATTGTTAGTACATACATAACTGGCTTTAGACTACTCTGTCATTACATTGATCATGCCAAAATCAATACTTATCAAATTGGCAGAATAATCATTCGGCTAATTTTTTATAAGGTGTACCAGGAATAATGATAATAGCTATAAAACAAAATTGAATTTTAAGTACTGATCCTGGGTATATTTTAATATTATTGCACAGAAATTCTAACTTATACCCAAGTTAGGTTTGCAAGTCTAGTAGTATCTATACAGTATCCTTCAGGTATAAACCAAGTTAATTGAGATGTTTGATTTACGCCCCAGATACTAACTTAAAGCTATGAATATTGAAGATTAATCAACTCAAATATGCTGTAAAAACTCAAGCTCATGCATTAAGGCACAGACCTTTTAAATTCTAGAAAGCAAATAAAATTGTCTTCTAAGCGAAATTCTCAGGGAGTCAAAATTTTTGATTTCTCTGCATAGCGAATGTTAATACTTCGTTGGAGTTAATTAGTTTTTTAAAAGTATATTGCTAAAGCATATAAATTAGTTACCCGGGCAATTTATCTGCAGGTAAAAATTTTCCGTATATTGATATGCAGCACAAATACGTATAATCTGCATGACTGTGTTTGGTCAACAATTACTTAAATCAGAAATCGACCCTTCAATTGTGTGTTCATATATGTTTATATGTATTTGTATGTGTTCATATATATTCATATATGTTCATGTGTTTCACCAAAAAAAAATTTATTTGTTATTTTTAACTATTTCAAAAACTGCGATAAACAAAAAATTTGTAATGCATATATAATTTTTATTCTTATAGCAGATATTATAAATAATAATGATGCTACTATATTTAGGCCAATTAAGTGTTATAACTCTTCTATTTCTATAGTATCCAATATAGCTGCTTCGAAGAGTAACTAACAAACATCTTTGTATAATTATTATAGAAGACCGATATTACAAAAAACATACCTATATTTGAAATATTAGTAATCAGAATATGTATCTTAAATGGTCTTCCTTTTTCTTTCATAGAAAATAAGAAAACACAGGCATTGTTTAATTTTATTGCATCTGGTTTTAAACTTCCAACCTGAAAAAAACTTGGTAACAAAATTTTATCAAATACTTCAAAAATTTTTAACAAAAATATGCTCAAAATTGCACAATCAGATGAAAATGAATTAACCGCAGAATTCGATAGGTGGACCAATATAAAATGAAAAAATCTTTGAGGTGTTGTATTTATTACTTCTAAGGGAAAACTATTAATCTGGAGTGCACAAAAAATAAGCTCAGAATGATCACGAACAGAGGATATTATTTGGCATATTGAAAATTTGATGAATGAAGCTCAAGATAAAAAAATTAAAATAAATGCATTTGTGTCAGATTCGGCAGAAGAATATGCTGCAGCTAGGTGATTTATAAAAAAATAAATAAAATAAAATTTATAAAAATTTAATAAAAAATTAATTTATTTTTTGTAATTAAACAACAATTATGTCAAAAATATCCTTCTAAAATATTTTTCCCTGTATGGCACATCAAATGAACCTAATGATCAGTGATATTTTTAATTGGTGATTTACCAGTCAGCCAGTGAGAGGTCATAGTATAATGTGACATAGTTTACTTATAGTAATTAGGATTTTGCGAATGTGGGCTGCATCATTCTAAAACTTTTTTTCGTACTAAGTTAACCGCCTTTGGGCTTCTAATTGAAGTTGTAGAGCTCGTTAAGAGAAATCTAATAGTGGTTGAATCATCAAAATCGGCCTTGTGGATCACGAGATATCTTGGAAAACATTTCACCGACTATGTAAAATTCTCTCTTTCGACAATAGTATCACCAAAAAAATTTTACATAGTTGGTGAAACATTTTTCGAAGATATCTCATGATCCACAAGGCCGATTTTGACGATTTAACTACTATTAGATTTCTCTTAATGAGCTCTACAACTTCAATTAGAAGCCCAAAGATGGTTAATTTAGTACAAAAAAAAGGTTTAGAATGATGCAGCCCACATTTGCAAAACTCTAATTTCTATAAGTAAACTGCATCACGTTATACTATAACCTCTCACTGGCTGACTGGCAAATCACCAATTAAAGAAAATACAACTTTTTGAAGAATTTTAAATGAAGCAGTTCGAATAGTTAGCTATTTTCATAAATCTACATTTCTTATAGAAAACTTACAAAATGAGCAAACTCAAATTTACAAGAAAACAATTTAATTAATATTACCTGATGATACTAGATAAAACTCATATTATTTTTGCTTTTACTCAGTTTTAAAAACTCAGGCAGCTTTAAAGATAAATATTATTTAATTATTTAATATTATATGAGTTATAAAACTTAATATATTATATAATCAGTCTATATTAAATTTTAAAGTTCAAATACTATATAATATATTTTAAATATATGAGTACCGTTAAAAGAAAACCTGGAATCAGACTTTTAATTATATTTTGTATATAGTTAGATATCTATCAAATTGATAGATACAGTGCAAGACAAAAAAACCTGCACCTATATCTGCTTACAGAGAGGTGCTACAATCTTAAAACTTTCCCAAAACTTAGTAAATAGTTAGTCTAGATTATGTATTTTTTTGGCAATTTTTCAATCACTAGAAAAAATTTTAGATGAGAGCTAAAGTTTGAATAATTTTTTTTACGAAAAATAAAAAAAATTAATTGGGTTCAATTAAAAATTAATAAAAAATCAGAATCATGTTTAAAAATTCTAAAAGTTTAGTATATT